TATATATATATATATATATATATATATATATATATATAAGTCAAATAAATATAAATAATATATATAAGTGTTTGTTCTGTCCAGATCTTTCGAGGACATTGGTGCGGCCCAAATGCAATCAATGTTTCCATTCTATTCTGTGCATCAATCAAGATATTTTTAGAAAGCAGTTTATGAATTCATTTGCAGTTTGTCGTCAGGCTCATTTATCTTGTTACCTTGGTGATCTATTATAGTGGACAGAACAATGTGCTAAACATAACTATCGACACCAGACGCCACTCACCTTCTCCTGGATCATGATTCAAGCAACTTCACACACTGAGGAACAAGTCTGGGCCATAGGTTTCATTTATTTACTTTTATTTTTTAAACTGACTACATGACACTTAAGCACATTCTTACCTGTCATTTTGCATGAATGCATTAATTTCTCTGTCATGCAGTCAATGCAATTTTTTAAATGCATCATAGTAGTAATTGGCTGAATCACCCATAACTATATTCTGCAGAGGATATGCCACGATGACCACCTATCCCGCCAGTGAATCTGCTCTGAGCATCATCAAAGCTGGGGCGACCCGCCAGAGAGAGGCCTACTACACTCTTAAAAATACGATGCCATAGAAAAACCCTTTTGTCTAAATGGTTCCATAAAGAACCTTTAACATCTGAAGAACCTTTCTGTTTGACAAAAGGTTCTTTGTGGCGAAAGAAGGTTCTTCAGATTACAAAAAGGTAAGAAAGAGATGGTTCTTTAAAGAACCTTTGACTGAATGGTTCTTTGTGGAACCAAAAATGGTTCTTCTATGGCATCACTTGAAGAAGCTTTTGAAGCACCTTTATTTTTAAGAGTGTACCCCTGGTTCCACTACTTCACCTGCCTGATCAATAACATCTTCCCCTTCATGAAGGACATTCTGCTGTCAGGCCTCAGGGCGGAAGTATATGGACTAAAACATCTGCATAGTAAGAGAAAGGAAAAATTGAAATCGCATCATATGACCCCTTTAAAGCCACTTTATGTAAGATTTGTACCTTGAAATATCAGTTTCAAAATCATTCTGACGTTCCAAACATCTGTTCTGGAAATTTGAAAGTTAAGCGTGAAAGGGCGGATCGTT